ATACTTGGCTGTTCTGTCTGTCTGGCCAGAGCTTGCCATGGCTATTTCCCTCACTCTGTTCAAACTTCTGTTAAATGTCAGAGAGATATTTAACATCATCACAGAGACACCCGAATGGCCCTGCCACCTGTAAAACCTGCCTCCTTTCCATAGTCACGTGCACCCACATGCAAACCCCTGTTTTATTGTCAGTGGTAGTACTTTCCCTCCCTGGCATGGTATGATTCATTTATTGGTGGTTTATTGCTTATGTGTGTATACCCCACAATGCAGGCTTTTTTTGATGGTCTTGTTCATTGCTGCATCCTCAGCTCTTAGAATAGGGTCTGGTATACAGCAGGCACTCAATACATACTTTCTAGCACCTCCTTTTGTTGAGGTCAAACATTTTGCTTATTAATTATTGCATACATTAGCTAGATTCTATATAAATATTAGATTAGGTATGTAATATCTATATTTTAAATTTCTGAAGGTTAGGAAACAAATGTCATCTTTCTCCATAGAGACAAAAACACCACCAAGCACATAATAATGACTTTTTTATGTGTATAATTCTTGATTTTGGCTTTTGATATGAACTCACCATTGGGAATCATCTGGGGGCCTTCTTACCAAGCAAATGCTGAGATATGTCAGGCATTCTTATCTTGAGGTCCATAAATGGAATTTAGAGGGTTTGTGAGCGTCCTAAAATTGTGCACAAAATTTAATAGGTATTTGTGTTTTCCTAGGGGAAAGGTTCATAGATTTGCTCAGATTTACAGGAACTCTATTCCCCAAAGCTTGAAAACCACCAAGCTGCCCAGAGATAGCCAGACAGTGGGTGACGCATGCGCAGGGGCAGGGCCGGGCCAAGGCGAGGAATCAGGAAGAGGTGGGAGGAGTTCGGGACACTAGGGAGGAAGGGTGGTCACCTTACTTGCTCCTCAGGCCTCAGGCACTCCTACTTAGCAGCCCGACAATTTCACACCAAGCTTGTGAGTGGAAGAGAAAAATCTGAGAGTGGGTCCAAATTCTGGTGATACACAACGTCTTGCATGCTCTAAGGAAGAAACCCAACCATTTGGTTTCACTCCCTGGGTGTTCTGATTCCTCAGCACACCCCTGGCAGAGGGCTCAAAGGCCATCCAGGTTGCCCAGCCATGCCCTGCATGGGGGCCACAGCCAGGCCAGGACAGACGGGTCACAGACTCCTTCCTGTCCCTTTCCTTCCTTGGCAGTAATCATGTCCCACTGCATGACACTGTCTATGCCACTGTCTTGTATTAGCGTTGACTGTCATTTTATTGTTTCAACTTTGTGTGTGTGTTCTAGACTCCACCAGACGTCAAAACCCTTGCCAAATAGCGATCATGGTGTCACACACAGTAGTACCTAACAATTAGTTTTCAAGTGAATAAATGATAATATATAATAGTAAATAACTAAGTAGCTGTATTTGGTACTTTCTTCAATTTAAAGACCCAGGGAAAGGCCTGTCTCTTAGTAGCAGATTGTTTTGGAACTTACATCAATAGCAAGGCAGGTTTTTAGTTCTAAAACTCTGTGATCATGGATTAAGAGCTAAGGCAATGCATCCTGGCCGGTAATTCTTAAGTTTTACGTGATAATAACTGAGACCCATGTAGTCCTTGCCGGCTGTTAAAGTCTCTGCACACATTCTCAAAAGTCATGTACTATTTCTCACCCATAGACGGGGCTCAGAGGGGGTTCCTTGATCTATTTCACCTCTCATTTGGGGCAACCTAAACACTATAGGTTGATTTACAGAGAAATAAGTTCCCCAGCTCCTTTCAGGTTAGGATCTGATAGTTTTCTCGGTTACTGAGAGTCCTCTTCCTGCTATTTAAATCTGTCTGCTCTGATTCTATCTTTAGTAGGCATTTAGATAAGACCTGAGGAGTTAATGTTTTCTTGGCAAAACCTGGAGGAATACTTTGCTGTTCTTTCCCTTCTTTTGTGAAGAGTGGAGATCTGCTTAGCAATGAAACAGTCAGGCTGATCTGCCTTAGACAAGACACCCTGCCCACGGAGGATGCACTTGTCTCCCTGATGTCACTGCTGGGTCTGAATACATAACAGGGGCAGAAAAATGTCCATTAGAGACACTTGACCATCAGCTTAGAATGGTCTCACTGCAATGACAAGTTCCCAATGAGCCATAAGGGTTGGACTGGGAGGATTCCAAAGGCTTGATTATTCATGAAGCTTCTAGAACCACACTCTGTCCAAGGGGAGAGTGGTATTTCTTAACTTTGACAAACACTACTCATAAAACCCAGGGCAGCATCACAAATGGTAACAGGGAAAATATCACAAAGCTAAGGCAGGAATAGGGGTGTTGGGAAATGCAAGAGACTTTCAGGGCAGCTTGGCACTGGTGGTGCCAGACAATAGTTCTTACACTGTAGGAAGGAAAAAGCAGCTGTCCAGGGACCAGGGTCAGCCCCACATGGAGGTATTGTGACTGCCCAGCATCACTCTGGCTGCCACAGCAGTGGTTTCCCACCAACAATTATATTTGCTCCTTCAGTACTTGGTAAAATGTGGAAAGTGTAAACAAATTGACCCAATAGCAGCCATTACCACGTCAGCTCACACTAGGACTTACAAGGTTGGCAGACAGCATTCCCTGAGGTAATAGGCCAGGAGGATTTAATAGTGAAGACAGAAAATGTCCAGAGTAAGGGACACAGACTGGAAGAGAGGGATGAGATATGATCATAAGGACACTCAATTCGGAGAAGACACCAAAAGGAAGCAGGAAGTTTGGAGACGTTCACATTAGGGACACCCAAAGCCAAATTGCTGATAGCAACATTTTTCCTAGAGATGGCTGTCTTGGGAGTTTCTTCAATTAAATTGACAGAATCACAGAAACATCTGTGTCTGACTCAGGGCAGGCCTCCCGCTCCTTGTCTCTCCTGTCACCATTGTCTCACCTCCTTTGATCCCTGCCCCTTCTCTCCAAGGGATTGCGGTTACTTGGATGACCAAAGGGCAAGCAGCAGTGTCAAAGAGCAGCTCACAAAGGCCCCCAAATACTTAAGGATCTCTGTTGTACGTGTCTGCCTTGCTAATTAGCTCACGGACGTGATGTACATTATCCAGCTCTTTGCTTCCAAAATTATCAAAAATCCATATGGCTGTTTATTTAGCAAGGTCACAAATATTGGGCATCACCATCATAACTATCTGGAAGAAATCCAACCTTATATCAACATAGGAAATGGAACCCCAAAGAGAGAGGGAGCCTTCAGCCGTTGTAAGAAAACCGCAAGACGAGCTCACAAAGCCTTGAGAAGGTGTTTGATAAATGTATTTGGCCCCAAGTGAAAGACACTTAAAAGACTGCCTTTTTATTATTTTAGTAACATCTAGCTCAGCCAGTTGTTTCAAATCACTTCTCAGAGTTCTGGTCTATTAGCATACAGATGAGAATTCTGGAATTTTTTTTTAAGTAAGAATTCTCACTTTGCCATATTGATCCAGTAAAGTGACATTCTTTTGATTGCCTGGTGAATTATGAAATGAAACCAGACTGAACCACAAGTTCTGGACTCATTGTAGCAAAAGGCAACGCTGAGTGAATTCACCTTGGATTTCAGTCCTAGCTGTGCCACGAGCTTGGTGGCCTCCAGGCAAATAATTTACCCTCTCTGAGCTGTTTGTTTTTCCATTTGTAAAAAGCAGGTTTACAGTAGTTATTCAAAGAAGGTTGTGTGAATTAAATGTGCTTATACCTGAGGAATGTGCTTTATACAGTGTAAAGTTCCTTTAAAAAGCAGGAATATTCCCTACATAGGGTCTAAGATTAATATTAATGGGAAATTGGGCAGGTGAGGAGTTTGTCGGATAAGAAGAAGGTGATAAAATGGGGGTTCCTAGAGACAGACTTATTTTATATAGATTTTTGGTCCTGAACTCTAAATTAGACCAGAACTGGAGTCTACTAGTCAATCAACAATCAGTAACTCACTGAGCACAATATTTAAACTGCAATTAGAGTTTTTTCCTGGGAAGTAAGGCACGTGGCAGGGGCGGAATTACTGGACTGAGTTGCTGTTCCAAGTTGCCATTCCAGGTGAGTTTTAAGACAGTGGAAGAGTTGGCAGGTAGAAGAAAGTCTGTGGGTGAACCCAACGAGCCCTAATATGCTGCTCCCTGGTGTTGGGCCCAATATTGTTTTGGGTTTTTTTTAATGCCATTTGCTTCACAGAATCTGAGACCTCCTTATTAACTCCTACTGTGGAAAGCCATGTGTAAGTACTGAGAAGCTGAGTTGGGACTTTGAACGGTTACTTTGTGCATGTGGCACTAAGGACTCAGTCTCGCTCCTCCAGCAGAGACCTGGACAACCTCATGGCAGCCCTGTGTTGTCCGGGTCACTGGTGTCCAGGTTCCAGTGACCTGTATATCTCAGAACAGTTCTGTTTACTATTTAGCTGCTCAAAAAAACACAAGAGTGTGTGAAAAACCAAATGGAAACGTATCCATGGAAATCGGTGAATACTAATTCCATTTGCGATGCACAGTCCTGACCGGCATTGCTTAAGTAGCTGCTGGTGAGAGCCGTGGCACATTCTTTGGATGTTGGGGTGGACTTTTGTTTTCTTGAGCTTTCTTTATTCCATTTCCAGATCAGAATTTCATGATGTGTCATTTGCAGAGGTCACTTCTCTTTCAGGACTGCAGCCACAAAAATGTTGCCCTCTGGGTGAGCGTCTTCCAATGACTTCCTAAGCAATGTGGCAGAGACTCCTGCCTGGGTCTCTCCTCTGCTCTCGGTGAACACTCTGCGGTGACAGTGCTGGCTTGTGTTCATTCTGTTCCCTCAAGGTGCTCTTTAAATAAACAGTGACAGGACAAAGAGGGAGGAGTAGACTGGATTTGGGGAGTTAATGAGAAGTTTGGAGACATAGATAAGGCACTCTGGGGTTTTCAGTACAGAGGCTATTGGTGTTCTATGTTCACTGTACTTTCCCCTCACTCGCCGCCCTTGCACGATTCAGCCGCACTGGAAAGACACCATCCAGGATTTTGGCATAGCGAGTTCTTGATTCTAGAGAAAGAGGGCGCAGAATGCCAAAAATACAAACTGGAAAATAAAATGCAAAAATGGCATCATTAAGTTTGTTTTTAATCAGAGCTTCTTAAGATAACCAAGGAAACATAGCTAAATAAAAATACCTATTTTAAAGCTATCATCTATCTATCTATCTATCTATCCATCAAGCTATATATATATATAAACATTACATTATAGGAATGTAAAACAAAGGAAAAATTGCTTATTGTAGAACTGCTGTATCTGCTCCTTCTAGGGGTCCCTCAATGTGCTAGTAAGTTGGGGATCAATTCTTTGTCATCGTGGTAGGCAGAGAAAATATGGATAAACAGCATTCACAGGCCATTAGTCATTTAATGTAACCACTGACTTCTTTCTCTAAACTTTCACCAGGAATGCTGAAAGCGGGTCCATCCCACCCTCTAAGCAGGTGTGGCAAGAGGAAGCAGGCAGGCTGGAGGTGAGGTCGGGAAGTGCCGGGTCCCCAGGACAGTGCACGAGCGGGTAACTGAGAGGTGGGTCTCCACTGCTCAGGACTTTGAACTGATCTCCCTCCTCTTGGGCTCCTTGGCTGTCTCATCACAGCATCCGTCCTCTGTGTTACAAAGTGAGTGCAGAGATGGGGGGAAGTCTACAAATCTTCAGCTCTTCCTAGCTTCTGAAATTTCATACGCTCAATTTCTAAGGCTTAAAAAATGAACAGACATCATCATTAATTTAAAAAAAGCAAAAGACAAAAAGAAGTTCTATGGGGGTGGGGGTGGAGGTATCCTACCAGGTAAAACTGGAATGCCAGCACTGCTATTATCTGAGAACTCAGTAGTGTTTGGAGAGTTTCATTTTGCATTCAAGTTTGCAGTCTCAGTGCTATAGGAAGCAGGACAATGACAGGTGGAAGAAGGTAATCATTTCTAATTATAGGCCCTGCTGGGCAGCAGGCAGGCTTGATCTCAGTTTGTTTCCATTCTGGCTAATGAATGGAAACGAGAACAATGTCCCAGAAACGTGGACAGCATCGGCACACCAGCTTACTGTTCCTTGCATATGCCTTGCTTCTTCTTGATGTGCATTCATTCAACAACATGAATGGGGTGCCTACTGTGCACCCCACACTAGGCTGCCTTTTCTCCTCAATTGTCTTTTCCATGGGCCAACACAGAAGGTCGCATATCTTTTGTAAAAAAACATTTTTAATTTGATGGTTTTCCACTTGCAGAAGTAGCATATGCCTATGGCAGCAAGTGAAACGCCATGTATAAAAGGGATGGTAAGTCACCTCCCTGCCCAGGTTCTCCGTTCCCATCATCCTGATGGAGCCAAGGCTGTGTCAGCTGTACTGTGATCAAGAAGGCTCCTTCAAACTTCCCCATCAGAGAGCAACAAGGATCTTGTATGAGCCTTCACAAAGGGACAAAAGCTAAGGATGCAGCTGACCGGTCACGTGCCCTGTTTCCTAAAGACACTGGGCAATGGGGTGCAGTTAGATAGGACACTGGTGCAAACACAGTTGCTCTGGGCCCCAGTACTGGGCTCCCAAACAGCCTTGCTGCCCAGGAGAAGGGTCTGTTCATGTGCACATGTCCGCTGTATTGCAAACGCTTCTTCCTAACCTACTGCGGATACAGGAAAAGCAGTTCTCTGAAGGCATTAGGCCCTTCATGCCTCTCCTCCCTTTGATTCTTTTCAGTGCATCATCCAAGCAGGCGACCCCGTAGAAAACGGCCTGTAAGAGCTAAATTCATTACAACAAATGAGGGCATTTTCATTTGCCTTAATTAATACCTTCCTCACTGATGGAAAACTCCATCCCTCTGGGAGCAATGTTGACGCGAGAGGGAGGGCCCTGCCGAGCTGTTTTGGTGGAGAGCCAATTCCTGGGCTGGGCTTCTAGCTCGTTGGGTCCTGACCTTGCTTGCAAAAACTGATTGAGTAAATTCGTTTGGGGGATAATAATGTGTACAGTGTTTAGTGTAATGGACTTGAGCTAAAATGGAAACAAAATAAAGAGTCTGCTTAAAAGGAGAATGTAATGAGATAGATACGTTGGTGGCCCAGAGGTGGGAAGAACTAAATAAGCAGCACAAGGACAAAGAGCCAGACGCAGTGGTGGGCACTGCCGGGCATCCTCAGGGAGGAAACGGTAAGAAAAATGCCTTGAGCTGAAATCTCAATAGAGAAGCCCGAACAGGTTCACGAGCACCGTGTGGAGCTCTGAGGGAGGAGCTGATGTATTTCCTTCCTTCCAGGGGGTGCTTGAAGGCCTTACAGAGAGGACCTGGTTGAGGGAGTGATTTGAGTCCACAAGGATAAACCAGACCGTAGGTTCTGGTGGGTTACTAAGTCCTGTGAGGTCCCCGAGGCCGGGTGAAAGAGAAGCAGGGTCTTTTTCAAGGAAGGAATATGACACCACGGGCAAACCTTGCCCATTCTTGCTGTTCTGCACACTCCCGTGGCTTCTCATTTAAGGCCTGCTGGGTTGGTTTTGAGTTATGCTCACATCAGAATCCATGCTAATCCTCGAAAGCTCGAGACTGGTGCAAGAGGGGAGTCTGGACTCTGCTTTTAGAGTGTGAGTCAGGCAAGTTCTGGAGCCTGGGGGAGCTGGGCTGGATTGAGCAAGTCGGCTGCTGGAGAACAATGTGTGAGGTCTGCACTCAGGGAAGGATCTAGCAGAGCTGGCCTTGTGCCTCTGGGCTGAGAAGGTGGGCAGGAGAGGACACAGGGCTGGATCAGAAGACCAGTGGCACCCACTGCCCAGCAGCTTGTGAAAAATGTGGGCCCCCAGCCTCATCCCAGACCATGGAATCAGAATCTTTGGAATTGAGGTCCCAGAGATGGTTTTCTAACAAGCTCTGCAGGTGATCCTTACATAGGTTAAAGTTCTAGAACCACTGGACTAGTCTTAAACTTAGCATTCAGAATCTTACTGACTACCCGAAGCTATAATAGCTGATTTTTATTCAACACTTGATAGGTGCCACACACTGAACTAAGCTTTTAATTCTCATAACAACCTTATTATTAAGCTCCAACCACCACTATATTACAGATGAGGAAACTGAGACACACTGAGATTAATACACTTGCTAAAATTCCATGACAGGTGAAGGCCAAAGCCAGAATTTAAAACCCAGAGTTTTGTTCTTGAGCTAGACTTGAAAAAACTTTTTTTTAAAAAAATTATCAGGTTTCTAAGAATAGCTCTGATAAAGGACTGGGGCAGGTCAGGAGAGAGATAATTCTCTCCAGGTGGGAGACTTAAAAACAACCTCAAGAAATTCCCACCCTGGATTCTCACTTTATAGAGGATCTAGTGGCCTAGGCGTGGGGTTTTTTTCCAGTCCTCCTGGGTGACTCTAGTCCTGAGCAGCCGAGGTTGAGACCAGCTGCCTAGAGGAGCTCCCGCCTGGCATTGCAGACCCAGTGGCCCCCAGAAAGGAGGGGCCGGGAGATCTGTGCAATTGGACCCTCGTGGTGGGACGAGATTGCTGGAAAGAGAGAGGGGAGAGGGCGGAAGCAGGAAGTGGGTTGTGGGGCAGGAGGGGAAAGAGGGCAGCAAACGAGGCAAAGAATGATCCGGTGGTCAAAAACCAGGTCAAGAACCCCATGGGCCCTAAGGAAGGAGGAAGCTTCAAACTGGAAGAGGCGTTTCAGGGAGGGCTTGGGCATAGTTTGAAATGCCAGAAGAAGGGGGCACTGCCCCAGGACTCACCATCTGCACTAGGGTGTGAGAAGTTGCCCCCTCCCCTCCCCAGCAGCAGCCTCGCCCCAGCCCTGGTTTCGCTTCCAGCTGCCCAGGCCACGGCGGCCGCTGCTGTCCTCAGGCAGAGCAGGCGAGGCCGGGCAGAGGCCTGCACTGTCCCCTCAGCACGTGGTGGCGAATCCCGCCTGCGTGTCTGCCAGGCCTTCCCTCTGCGGGGACAGGCCGCCTCCACCCAGCACGAGGAGCCCACATGCCCGGCTTTCCTCGGGCGACAGCCTTTCGAGAGTCACCATGAGTCAGGCCCGTCCTTTCCCCTGCTTTTCCCAGTCACACAGCGTGCAGATCGGACTGGAGGAGAAGAACTGGTTACTCAGATCCGCCACACTGCTCCACGCTGCAAACGCGCCAGTCACCCTGCTGCGGCCCCAGCTCTCGGGCCTGTGTCACACACCCTGGCGTCACCGTGTGTGAGGGGTGGCCCTGTGGCCGTCGAGTTTGCTCAGCGTTGACAGGTCATTGTCTGTATTGACGAGGGGTATTTGTGGAGCCCCCCACCTAGCCCCTCAGGAGGGAGGTGGGAGTGAGTTGCCCAGAGAAAGGAGCAGGCAAGAGCTGATGGCCGGCAGTAGGAGCCGTGTGGGCTGAGCTGGAGCACTAGGAGGGGGAGCTCTGGGAGGCTTCCAGGAGGACACTAAGGACATGTTTGGATCAGCTCACCCAAACCCGCAGTCTGCTCATTCTCCAAGGACAATGCAAAGCAATGTTTATGAAACATGCACAGAAAGAACAATCGAGGGAAACGCTGTCAGCGGTTATGGGCTGAACTGTGTCCCCCAGAAAAATGCATATGCTGAAGGGTCTTTAAAGACGTAATTAAGTTAAAATGAGGTCCGTTTGGTGGGCCCTAATCCAATCTGATTGGTGTCCTTCTCAGAAGAGATGGGGACACAGACGGGCACAGAGGGACGACTCTGTGAAGACACAGGGGAAGACTGCCATCTACGAGCCACGGGGAGACGCCACAGAAGGACCCAACCCTGCCCACGCCTTGATCTCAGGCTTCCCGCCTCCAGAACTGTGAGCAAATAAATTCCTGTTGGCTAAGCCTAGTCTGTGATTCTTTGTTAAGGCCGCCCTGGGAAACTACACAGTTGCAGAAAAATATGATAACAACAACTTCTCTTCTTGTAAGAATCTTAAAACAAAATTACTGTCATTTACATTTTTCAAGTATTTTGTCAGCCCAGGAAAGCAGACTTCGTGGCATCTTCTTGTTCAAAGTTTATTTCAGAGCTTCTGCTCCCTGGCTTGTCTGCCCGAATCCTCCTCTAGTTGAGTGCTCTGTGTCTTTTCCTGAGATGCCGGTATTCTAAATTCCTTAGCTGTCTTTCATTTCTGTTGCTAGCCGACAAATTCTCCACCTGCGACAGAGCTGAATTGACATTTTTAAATAACTAATGCAATTTAAGAGACTGTAGCTAAAAGGATATTTCGTTTTTACATTCATGTGCCTTCACAAATCCACAAAAATCTTCAACTTGTGGAAATTTAGCCTTTCTAAGTCATCAAGTTTATTTTCTTGCCGTTAAGCCAGAACCCTCTTAAACTACCCCAGGAAATGAGAATTTCTTCTATTTAAAAAATAATTCCAGAGAGGGAGATTCCGCAAGTTTCCTGAGCAAAACATTACAACTCTTACTGGGTGAGTCAAGTAATCCGACGCCCAACTCAGGACTGTGTGCCTGACTCAGCCCGGCTGGAACTCTTGCTCCTTTCCTTGGAAATGATGCAATGCCCGCTGTGGAAGACGATTCTAGAATGAAGCCGAGAATGGGAACTGACTGCAATGAGCGCTTTATATAACGGTGGTGGCTGTGATCCGGGCAGGTGGAAGGGAGCCTTTGCCAATCATGTATCTGTGTTCATACGTAATATACCACTTCAACCATCATTCTTGTGCATTTAACTTCCGTAAGAAACTGAGATTAACAAATGACATGAAGAACACAGGAGAGGAAATGGTGTGGAGAACCCAATTGGGAATAATGAGGATAAAACATGAGACCAAGAACATAGCGGGAAGGGCTGGTAAACAGTATGAGAATGCTTGGCCACTGTCGCAGAGCTGATGACAGCAGGACAGCAGCGGGACAGGTGTGGAATAGAGTACCTTGCCGGTGAGATGGGCTTCCCTGAAAAGTGGCTCATGTCGGCTAGGACCATGTTCTTGTCATTTATTCACCCAACCAACATTCCTGGAGTGCTGGTTAGGTACCAAAAATTGTATTAGACATAATGCAAGCCAGAACAGGCTCTATGTTAATGTGTCTTTATTAGGAATAAGGAAAAGAAGTAGGAGAGGAGAAAAAGGAGGAGGAGGAGGAACCTTTTTGGTATATTTACTATTTCACGTGTAGGGCAGTTTTCTTGAGAAACAGAAGCTGAGACTCGAGGTGTGCCGAGGGGTGCTGGCCGAGCCACGCGCTCAGAACATCCAGGGGAGGGGGGGAAGGAGCAGGACTGAGGTGGGGAGGCCAGTGCAGCTCTGTAAGGGCAGAGCTGGCCCTTCAGCTCTTGTCCTGCAGCAAGACCCTTGTGCCCCACACCGGCCAGTCTCCCTGGGCGCAGCAGCCCCAGGGAGAGCCCTACGCCCTGGCAAAGGCAGCCGGAGAGGTGGGAGGATCCAGCTGCCTCACTGCAGTATCCATACACATGAAGAAACTGAGGCACAGAGAAGTTAAGTAACTCACTCAATATCACACAGCACAGCCAGGGTTCTGTCCTCAGAAGCCAGGCCTTCAATCACTCATTTCCATACCGTGTGTAAAGAACGTACCAAAATGCTGTCATAGTTGCTCAACAAATTATAGATATTTTATTTTGGGTGCTGGTGGTGACTATTTTCATAATTGTATCAGCCCTTATCCCTCCAGCTATCTGAGAACTCTGTGAGGCAGAAGCGGTCAAGTGTGTTTCTGACTCTGGTGAGCTGAAGATTGACTAAGGGCCGTCCCCGCTTATTGAAGTGG